TGCGATCCTCCAACGCAAGATACCTCAGAAGCTTAAGGACCCCGGAAGCTTTACTGCCTTGCACAATCGGGAACATTTTCTTTAGCAAAGCTTTATGTGATCTTGGTGCAAGTATTAATCTTATGCCTCTGTCGATTTTCAGGAAGTTGGGACTAGGAGAAGTGAAGCCATCTACGGTAACCTTGCAATTAGCGGATCGTTCGATAACATATCCCAAGGGGATTGTTGAGGATGTGCTTGTGAAGATTGATAAGTTCATATTTCCAGTGGATTTTGTGGTGTTGGACATGGAGGAAGATAACGAGGTGCCATTGATTCTAGGAAGACCGTTTCTAGCGACGGGAGATGCCTTGATAGACGTCAAAAAGGGAGAACTTACTTTGCGTGTTAATGATGAGCATGTGTTATTTTCTATATATAAGGCTATGAAATTTCACGATAATAATGCGCATTGTAACTTTCTTGATACTATAGATTCATGGGTCTTGTCACATCTTGATCATACATTGTCTAGAGATTCTTTGGAGTTTGGATTGATAAATTCTTGTTCTCCTACTGATTCGATTCTTGAATTGAATGACTCTAATTTATATGAATATGTGTTTTCTTTGGATTCTACGCAGGAAAAAAGCATGTCAAAAGAGATTTTGAGCTTGGGGATCGAAAAGGAGAAGAAAAGATGCAAAAGTAGTCTCTGCAGGGGTGACACGGGCTGTGACACGACCAAACAGCCCGTGTCACGTGGTCGTGCTACAAACCTGAGAGTGGAAGAACCAGCCCAGACCCGACACGACCTGCGACACGGGCCGTGTCACGAGGTCGTGTCACACCTTCAGACACGGGAGATTGAGTGCCAGGGACGTGACACGGGTCGTGACACGGTCACCCAGACCGTGTCGGAGGTCGTGTCAGGTGTTCCCACCGCTATTTCGCCCGATTCCAGTCCCTCAAAGCCCGACGTACCGACTATGGAGCTTAAACCTTTGCCGGAGCACCTCACATACGCATATTTGGGTGATAATTCTACATATCCGAGATGTGAAGAGACGAATTTGGTTCTTAACTGGGAGAAGTGCCATTTTATGGTACG